AATATTTTTTTACTTTCAATTGTAATATCAAAGTGAGTGGTCCTTAAGTTTTGAGTAAGTGTATATAATTATTTGTGACCCGTGCTTACACCAGAAACCCTGAACCAGAGGCCATGAAATTCACAATTTTAGTAAAGGCAATTTGTATGAAATGATATATAGTAAACCCGCATAAATTTAGAACTTTGATTCAAACATTCAAATTTCAAAAAACCAAAACACTTGGTTTGAATTTTGAAACTATTTCAAAAACATCTTTGATTAAGCAAGAGAGCTTTTTGATGGTTAGAATATTAAACTTACAATCAAAATTCAAATTAGGTTTGGAAATTTAATATTTTGAATATTTAAAGTAAAATTCTAAACCTCAAAGTGTTGAGTGTATTTGAAATTAGAACATTTGAATCAAGATTCCAGATTTCTAAAAAAAAATCTGAAACTTTTCAAAATTGGATTTTATAAGTTTAAAGCTAATTCTAAATTATCAAAAGAAAAAAAATATTACTGAAATATAGATTGTCTAGTGTAAACTTTTTGAACAAACGGTAGACTAAAAACTCGTTTTTGGAAATTTAAATTCTGAACATTTAAGGTAAAAATCTAAAATATCAAAATTTTAATATCTGTTTGGAAATTTGAAAATTTAGATTTTAGAACTAAAACATTAAATTTCAATATATCAAATCAGTTTTAGTTTTTGAAAGTTAGATATTTGAACTAATATATACTGAAAGGAAAAAGAAACACAGGGTAGCATAATATTCGAAAAAAAATTGACCGCATAACCGAAAATTACGAAAATAGGTCAGATGAGAAATTTAGTTACTGTGTACTAAAATCAGTAAATATTATACAATTATGGACTCTTTTAGTGTTGAATATGGTTTGTTATTCACCAGAAAAATATCCATATTGACCTCGGCTTCGCCTCGGTCAATATGAATGTTTTTCTGGTGAATAACAAACCATATTCAACACCAAAAGAGTCCATAATTGTTTTATTATATAGTCGGGATTTGGATAGTTAAGACATTGAAGGCTGTATGACGACATCATTTTCATTTGAAATAAAATAAAAAATATCTCCAGATTACTATTTGTAACCTCCGTGTTTTCCTTTGCGAGTTTTGCTATGTGTAAGACGTCAAAAATAATCCTGAAATAGGTTTGATTAATTGTTTTTCTGCTCAGATACCTAGCTCACTTCGGCCGTTGCAACCATTGTTTACAACGTTGTTTGATGTTTTGATTGTGACGTCACAATGCCGTTTCACGCGCATTGACCCTCCGGTGAATACGGCCAAAAATCCGGTGAATATGTAGTGTTATGAACTGTTTGTGTTTGTATAGATTATATAGGGACTATAAATAGACTATATAATAAATGTCTTTTTGTGTTAATATACTGTATATATTCTGGCCAATATACCTGTTTGTCCCAGTTTCGTCTTACATGTATTCGCCAATAATTCAGTTTAAGTTGGAACATCCCCTCTGAAAATACGAAAAGCTACTTAGTAGATAGTTATATTTTTTTAAAAAGATTATATGTTTGAATTAATGTTAAAAATGAACAATCATACCATCAATTTGATAAATTTCCTTGTCTTTTACTTCAAGCACATTGTCTGCAAATTCAGTAATATCATATCATTAAGAGCACAACTATTAAGCATGTTTGACGCCATTTGAGGTACTGACATTACCAGTAAAGTAAGGCATGTCGGGTCATGAACAAAATATAGGTCCAAAATTATGAGAGCAAATAATTACGTTTGCATGCTTGTCTGTCCTGATTGGATATTTCTTGAACATACTCTTCCCGTTTTTCTGCATTTAAAATAAAAATGCCTTTTAATCAAAGGAAAAACAAGTTCCGGAAGTAGCATTCCAGATCTGTGAGGTATACCCGCCTTACACAGTGTCCTTGGTGTTGTGGATAACAGTAACAGCCGGACCTTTACCGTCACATCAAGTATGGAAGGTCCAGGCATTACATCCGTCCCGACGTTCAGTGATTGTTTGCTTACTTTGTAGTGACTATACTGTGGTACCGAGCTATAGTGACCCAAGTCTATCCATTATAAACTGTGACTGTTGTGCCTTTAAGTAGCCCGCGTGGTTAGAGCGTCTGCTCTAGAGTCGCCGGATGGTACTGTATAAACCGATGTCCTGTGTTGCATTAGATGCGGGCACAAAAAGATCCCTCACTGCCCAATGGCCCAAATTGCCGAGTATAGAAAAAAAAAATATAGCTCTCCACTGGCAAGTGGTGGTGTCTCCATATGAGTGAAAACTTCTCGAGAGGGACGTTACACAACATACAATCAATGTTGATACTAAATTGTAGTGTCGAGCTTTTGTGGCCCAATTCTAATCATTATGAACTGTGAATGTTTGTCATTAGGTTTTTCCACCTTTCTGTGAAAAGACCTATTTGCATTCTTCTGTTTCTTATTATTAGGGCTTTTCACCTTTCTATGGATACGCCTATTGATTTTTTTCTGTTTCTTCTTTTCCTTTTTAGATAATTTTCCGCCGTGTTATTTTGAATTTCAAGATTTAACGAAAAGATGTATAGCCCACGAGAATGTACTTCGCAAAAGATTTTTGCAGTGTACCCTGCGTATATAAACTTTGACCCCTCAAGGATATAAGACCCCTTTCACAATAAAAGCTTGTTGTCGCTACTCCTCCAATACCGTAAATCACAGAGGTCCAAAACCTTCACCAATGTCTGCGACAAATTTAGTAGATTCTTCAATCTTCCATTGCGAAAGGATTCGTAAACACCTACAATGAATTATTGCCCCTGAATGTTCGCGATGTTTATGGAATATCAGAATCTTTTCTAAAACGACAAGTCGTAGAGACATAGGGTCATCTGCATAAGATTCATTTACTTTTGACCTTAAAATTTAGGTCAAGGTAATTCAGAATATGAAAAATTAAGCTCTTTTTATAGCTCATTTGTTCTTCACGAAATTCTAAACATCTTTGCATCTTTAATATGTTCTCTTAAATCCATTTCAAAGATTTCTTGCTCGTCCCCTAAGATTGACCCCTCTTAAAGTTGTGCCCTTTTAGTCTATACCTTTGTTATTGCTACTCCTCCGAAAACCATAAACCGTAGATGAACAATACCTTCAACAAATATCTACGATTAATTAAACACACTTTTCAATCTATTCAGTGCGAAAGAATTCGTAAAAGATTTTAAGTAGTTATTGCCCCTGACAGTTTATGATGTCTATGTTTATAAAAACTTCTTAATGACAAGTCGTAAAGACATGGGGCCAAGTGCATGAGATATTTTGACCTTGAAAATTGGGTCAAGTTCAAAGTCAAAGGTGAAGGTCACGGTGCTTCGAGGTGAGCCACACCTACACATGCTACCTGAAGAGGACTCCAGGGAATAACTGGTCATCATCCTTGGTGAGCTACATTGGGGCTGGGTATACCTTACCTCTCTCCTTAACATACCATGTAACACACTACTTTCCCCACAGGAGTTGCCCCGAATGCAGGCCGGGGCATGGATGCCCCAGGGCAACCTACCTCCCATGTGACCATTACATTGACTGAGCAAAAGGTCTGTAACGCGAAAAATAATGCTCTCTCCCGCTATAAACATATGGTGAATAACCACCTCCACGGGAAAACCATCCACACTACACGGAATACGAGGGTTAAATACTGGTACATTGTAGTATGTCTGACTGTCCAGGCCTAAGCCGACACGGCTACCGCAACAGACATATCATAATAAAATGTCACAAATGCTAATAATCAAGTAAAATCACAGGCAATTATACATATACAAATCAATTCAGGAAGTCGATTCAAGAGAAATACATACAAAATCAACATGTGCTCTCACGTACCTAGCAGCACCGAAAATGGCTGCTAAAACCGATGTCTGAAAAATCCTAATTTGACAGCAGGACGAGAATCTCCGGGCCCCGTGAAATGGGCGCCAGTAAAGTAGCCGTAGGGGGTGTTCTTTACAAGTATTTATTATCTTTAATATATACAAACACAGTGGGTTCTGGCCCGCGTCGACTCCCCGATCTTCTGCTGTCCCAGACACGTCCTGTATGCTCGGTATCCACGTGTAGCAGAGAGCCCGTGCGACTATCCCGCCGTCTAACGTAATACAGACAGTAAGTCACATCACGGGACAGTCGCAAAGATACTACAAAATACAATGTCTGAAAATTCAAAACAATTGTTTCCTCATTGATTTTTTTTAAAGGCCAGTGGGGTCATTGCGACGTTTTTGATTACAACGAATGTGTTTGGTTTTTTTGTAAAGAAAGATGGATTTTAGTATGATTTTAAGATACATCTATATATAATCTAAATATATATTGGGAATTTTTTTTTAAAAAGCACGAAAAGTGAATGCCCATGAGTTTTTTTATCACCATTCGTACGTACATACATAATATTAACAAATATTTTTTTTTAATTGCAGTAGCCCTATTTTCTTTTAAATTTGATACATATCACCAGTAGCGAATTCCTGTCATTAGTTATCCTTAATAGTTATATTTAAGAAACCTAAAAGGATTGAGAGTTAATTCTTTATAATATTTGCATTATTGAGGGACAGACATCTGGCTAATAGTAGCGAAACTGCATATATATCAAAGAGAATATCATTTAATTAATTTAAGTGTCATGGAAAATCTGTAATATTTTCAATTTAGGCCGGAGACAATTTATTTAGTCTACACTTAATTTATAATTCTTTGGAACTTCAAAACATTATTAGTTACTATGTTAAAGTTTTATATTTGATTTTTGTTAATCATTGGCTTAGTGAAGATAGAACTAAAGATAGAACTTGGATGTATTAAAACCATCCAATTACGACAGGACAAATAATGTAAATGATGCAAAATCCGTATTACATTTAATATTATGCAGCGCACCCATATACGTGTGCATTTACAGGATGCAAAAACCTCCACCGCGAATGTACGTAAGTGTTAGATGTATATCTAATGCGGCAGAGTTTGAATTAGTCACAGACATACCATACTAGTTTGAAAGATGAATGAGACACTGTGGACCTTGGTTTTCTGTGCTTTGTTATTTGAAGCTATGACAGAGGCCTGTAGTCCGTGTACCTGTCGGTCCACGTTAGACTGCACTGGAAGATCCGCTGATTGCGAAGCTAAAGCACTAACGCAAGTACCTACTCTCCCCAGCGACGTATGTCAATTGTAAGTAACTAGGTGTAAAGCATATCCCTAATTTGATGTAAATCATAAAAAGGCTGATGTTGTATTACAGTTGTAGTTAAGATTTTTGGTTAGGCAATATAGCTGTTACACTTAAATATCAGCTTGCATGTAAACCAATTGATATAATACTAGTAATCTACTACAGATTATACAAATTCATAAATCAATTGCTACATCTTGTTTTTGTTCTTTGCAAACCTTACTTCAAGGATTTTGAAATATCAATAAGTATTATTTTGAGAACGAGACGGGTTCTGTTTGGCAGATACAAATTTGGGGTGAACGAGTGCGTAGCCTTTACATGACTTGATCACGTGACTGACCCTCTTCAATTCCCATTTAAGTAAACTTGTTATTTTTTTCTTAAGTGAACGAGACGTGTGGCTGTCGTAAGCGATAAGGATTTTTAAGAATAAAAACACAAAAAATGGTTGAATGATTTTGTACGAGGAGAGTGGATGTTTTTCGTTATTGCGCATTTTCCTTTTCGTTTGAATCGAAATTACGTGTAGAGGATGTTTTCCGTTTTTGCGAATTTTCCTTTTCCTTTGGATCTAAATTACGTGTAGATTCTGTGTGGAATAAGTTTTTAAAATTTTTTACATTTAACATTCTCAGGATAAATACCGGGTATTTCTTCAAAATTTGTAACAGGAAAACATCAGCATTTACAATTTGATAGTGCTTTTGCTAAATTGAATCAGATTTATTTTTAGACCATGCCGTATTTTAGATACAGAATAGTTGGCAAATACAGTACGGTATACTGAGCTAGTACAGAACGGAAAGTAGCTCCGCCCACCATAGTCCCGTACTGTATTGCTAATACAGAACAGTAAACTTCAAAGAAAAACACCGCTATTGTGTCACAAAAATTACTTTACAGTACATGTTTATATACTTGTAAATTCATGGTTTGTCTTAACAGTACAAGTATATTTAAGAAATAAGGTATCATTTTAAAACATCTATCGGGATATAAATACGGGTTGGTCACGAGATTTAATTCCATGAAGCCCGAATCTCGAACCAACCCGTATTTATAGCCCGATAGATGTTTTAAAATGATACCTTATTACTTATATTTACATTTGTGACTTATTCATACTTTAAGTTTGCCTGAGTTTTACTTTTCAACGTGTGAAATGCATTATTTTTCAAACCCAACGGCATGTATGTAATCCACTGAACGCGCGTTGACCCTTTATGACGTCACTGAGAAATTACGTCGAACGTTTATCCATACGCACATCTATGACCTCTTGACCCCGTACTTGTATTTGTACAGGTATAGATACGCATTGTTTTCAGTGGTGTTATATTTTTACATTTGCAAATGTTTTCCTTTATATAACACTATTTTTCTCTGTATTTGTGTTATTTACACTTGTATTATTTGAAAACTAAAAGTTACATGATGCGTGGCGTTTGACGCTAGAAGAGCGTGCTGAAGCAGACAGTATGGCGTTTTCAGGGTTCTTTTGAAAATCTGTGAAAAATGAAAACAATAGAAAGATTATGAATTCCTCTCATGAAATATTGTTGTAAAGAGATTAACAAACATAAAACTATTTACAATAGATAGCAACAGTATTAAGTTAGCAGCTTACAAGAAGTTGAAAATTGTTCACAACACTGGGTCAACCGGAATTTCAGTAAATTTGGTAAGGACACTAAGACACTTGATGATTTCTAGGCGATATGATCGTCAGTGATTGTTTGTTATTTGATTTATAACTGGGGGACAACTTCACAGACCACCTCTAGTGATCAAGAATTTTATATCAGGGCATAAATGGTGCGCAGGGCACAGCTAGAAATTTGTTTTCGAACGCGCTAGTAAAGTTTTATTTTTCATATATTTTTGACAATTGTTTAAAAACAGTTCTCTTGATTTTCACAAATCTTTGAGATCTGATACATGTACAGCTTGTACAAGTATTCTTTTTTTTTTTTGGTTATATTAAATGATGTTGTAAATTATGATCGTTTTCTGCTGTTAAAATGTTATATATCTGCTAAGTTTCTCAGGAATAGGAAAAGGTACAATCATATTCCTGTCTCTAAAAGTACACCTTCCAAAACAGTTTATTTGTATAATCCATGGGCCTGTTGTCATTATATTTTTCATAAACATGTTTATCAGTTTTAAGAATCTCCTTAGAGTCTATTAAATGACAAAATAATTCAATATTATTGCCTTTACAATCAATTCAATGCAACCCCAAGTCAGTACGAATACAACACTTACAGGGTATATCGTTCTTGTTAAATTCTTAAAGATCCCCCTCCCCAAAGTTTTATGAAGTTCAAAAATCATAACCATGTCCTTATTTCATGTAAACCATGTTTTGATGGTAGTCTTGCAACTGCGTTTACTTACTGAGGATCTTACGGCTGCACGAAACTTATCTGGTTGAAACATTTTTATGAACTGTTTCATTGTTCATAAAATTTAATCCTAAATTGACCAAACCCAGTTTATACAATTTTAATTCAATGTTAATGTTAATGTAAATTACATTCCAACAATACATATGATTGCGCCCATGACAAAAGGGCCTTATGGCATTTTTGCTAAAACAGAGAAATAACGTCATAAAGATGTGATGTGTTTTGAATTGTTTCCAACATGTGGAATTTATTTTCATTGATAAATTAATTTAATCAATAAATGACTTTTTAATAGATATAAATAAAAACATTTAGAACTGGTTTCTTAACAAACATTTTATGCGTCTCTAATACCAATAGTTTTCCTACAAATTGTCATCTTCTTGTCACAAGCTGCTTTTCTGATAGGATTATTAACCTTTATAATAAATTTTATTTACATTTTATACTAGATTTAGGATACATGTTAGACAGGGGTATATTGTTAAAATATTGCAAAGGAAAATTGTCTTCCTTTTTTGAGATCCGCTCCACTACTCTCGCGATCCCGTCCATCACATGTAAACATTGATAGACAGAGACGGATAGAACATTGATCTTTAAATCTTTTGTTAAATTGTTTGTTCTAATGTTGAAAAACATACATCTTCTACGTTTTTACAAATTTAGCAAAAATGTGTAAGTCAAGATTTTTATTTTCTATAAATAAAAAATAGGAGAGATAACTCTGATGTCAGCAATCGATGTAACAGGGGTATTTTATTTTCTCCCGGATTATAAAAGAGATAGAAACACTTTTAATTGTCAGCATAATTATGATTTTTTGAATAAAAAATATTGTTGTACTTTGGGAACAAGGTCCCATTAATGTAGAAAAGGAAAAACAAAGAAAAAAAGGAAAACTGTAGCATTAAACATACGTACTTTATTTTTTTTAATCTCTCTTCCATATAGCTTTTTTTGCATGAAATAATTTAATAACGAATTTCATTTTTTTTTTAAATATACATGTTGTTTTGTCTTAATTATTTTCTTGTTGCGCTAAGATACTTCAATTTAGAGAAATTAAAACAAGCAAAATGAAAAAAAAATGTTCTAAATGTACTAACTTAAATAGAGCTGGTCAAGAGTAAATCTGATGAGAGAGAAAGGGGGGGGGGGTATAGATAAAAATATATATTGAATCTATTTATCTTATATTGACAAATGTGGACCTCTGTTGAAAAAGATGAGTTTTCAAAACAAACAAAATAATAAAATACTGTAAAATGAAAGAAAAAATCTTTTTTGTTATTTAAACTACATGTATGGCTATTAATTTTCAAGATCTCCAAATTTAATATACATGTAACTCTTTGGTACTTACATGTACGTGCTTTTTTTTTTATACAGAGTTCAGATGTTTTAAGCATTATCTGCAAATAAATCCCTGAAGCCATGAAGAACTTTGTCTTTCACAAAAGCTCGATCAGCATTGAATATCTCTCAACAAATCACTTATCATGCTAAAAACCCATTTCATCACTGGACTTATAATCTCATTGCACTTATCAGTGTGGAATATATTGTTTAACATGCCATCAAATTATGGATAAATATCATTATACATGTATAAGCACATATAATGATTTTATTTGTTTTGATTGACAAAAAAACCGTTATAAGTTCAGGGTTGGGTTTTATTTCTTCATGTAAATGCTGACATTAAATAAAATTCAATGCTGAAAATACACGACATAAAACCGCAGCGACATGCTTGCATTTTGTTTTATTTGGCCGTAGTGCAGGGGATGGGGGTGGGGTGTCCTTTTATATTTCCGTAACATGTAAGGCTTTACAAGGCTTAGCATATCAAAGCTTCTGGCACGGGAACAGAATGGAATTCATACTCTGTAAAATTCACTTCATAAAATAAAACTAGAAAACAAAATCATTAGAATGAAAGGGAATTTTTTTAATTAAGTCACAAAAAATATGATGAATTTTCTAAGATGCTTACATCTCTACAAAAATCTGACATTTCAAAACTCAGCCAGTTCACAGATCTAGACAATTGTCAGGAAAAATATATCATACATAACAGTAACTGTCTGTATATTTAGGTATGGACAATTAAATGTTATTAATTTTTAACCCACCCCTACCCCTACAAAATCTATACATTAAAATGCATGATTCAAAAAATTACAGGATAAAGTTATTGATTTGTCTACTGGATATTTTTTTTTTTAAATTAATGAGAAAAAAAAAAACGACGAAACAATTTTGTCCGAAATTCTTTTTAAAAAATTATGTAAATGGTTTCCTTAATTTAATTCTATTGGTGTGCTTCTAAAACCATCCAATTAAAAAAAATAACAAGATTTTGTTAATCTAGGGTGTCATTATATACTTGATAAACAAGACTGAATTCATAGCAATTCAGTTCCAGGTTCGCAGTGCTCATGATCGCTGTGCTATTTTAAAAATGGCAATGTTCAGAATTAAAGGTACAAATATAAAATAAAGAATACCCGGTAATATGCAGTATTATTTCAAACCTTAATTAAAAAAGTGAATTTACAAGTTGTAGGGTTAATGGTACTGGGTGTAGGAGAGACACCCATTGTGCACCAAAGACTTGGGAAGTAAAAAAATATATATTTATTTTAACTCGTGTTCACAAGAATTGTAAGTTTCTGCCATTTAGATTTTTACCACCACCCCCCTCTTCACCAACACACACATAATCCTACCAATATTAATCCCGTGTCTATCTATTGTGTAAATGTGTGCGGATTATAATTTATTCATTTGCTTATAAAATTTCCACTTTTTTGATCGGTAAATATTAAAATATTTTTACTGCTAGACTGAAAAATATTTTGTGTATCCTTTATGTTTTTCAAACAGCAGTGTCATTTTTGACCCTATGCAGACAGACAACCTTAAGATGCAGTGAATCAACCGAATTTCCTTTGTATTCACTGTCCATTGTTTATCGTAATAACATGATATCACACTTCACAGTTTTTCTTTCTTTATATAAAATTTAGAAAAAAGAACGATCAAATAAATTTTCACTTCGCAGTTGCATTTAGGTAGCGTATTGTTGTTCCAGATATAATTTTTTAAAAAAATTATTTTCACAGGTAAGGTAACTCGAGATATATCGTTTTATGCTGAATTCAGGCAAATAAATTACATATTGACCTATCGAGAGCAATGTTTAAATTAGAATAATTTTCTTATGAATTCTGCAGGCTTATCAAATGACTCTTGCGTGTAGTAAATATTTTGTTTGAGAAAATAATTGTTTAAAAAAAATGAATGGATGTCGCCCGCTGTTCAGAAGAAAAGTTGTAAAACAAGCAGTCACTCATAATTCTACACTGATGAATCCATAATATATATATAACTATTAAATAATTATTAATAATTAAAAGAGACAATGAGATAAAAATAATGTGCACGGGTAAATATTAAATATTATACAACTATTAATTACCGCTTTGCGGAAGAACAAGGCAAACGTTTGACGTTGTTGAAAAACATGACGTCATTATGAACCTGTTAAAGTATCTTAGATTAAAATGAAGAAAAACCTACTTAGAGTAGACGTAGGACCATAAAAATTCATATTTGACAACTTCTAACCTTACTCTATCAAAATCCGTGAAAAACTCAAAATGTATAAAAATTGCCATAAGGGCCCTTTTCCCATGGGCGCAATCATATGCGATAGCATTGTGAAGCTAGTATGAATTAATCACTTGATAAATGACTTTTAAGCGTATTCCTTTTCTAACAAATTGCCCTTGCCATTCATTATTTATAACTTTTTTCAGGGATTTGGGAAGGAACAAGATAACCACAATAAAAGAAAGCGACTTTATTTCTTTCACAAACTTAGTGACATTGTAAGTTTTTTCATAATTGTGCTTATTGTTAATATTTTATGGAGTATTAATTCACCTTAAGAATTTTGAGGCTAGTATGAATTCTGTACATTATCGCTGCTTTTTTTTATCATTATTATTATCATTTTTTAAAATGAGGTAAAAAATACTATGAAGTTTTTATTTGATAAAGACAAGAACTTGACATTCATTTTTTACAATTTCTTTTAGGGATCTTAACCACAACAGTATTACCACAATAGACGACAATGCCTTCAGGAATTTGACAAAATTAGAACAACTGTAAGTTCATTATTTAAAATATTTCTGAACACTTATTCTCCAAACTGTAATTTATCAAGCATTGATTCATTCAAGGATTTGACAAAATCATTGAGAGATTGTAAATTTGGTATTGAAAATATTACAGGAAACTGTAATATTCCATTTATTGATTCAATGAACTGACAAGAGTAGAGACAAACATTTTGAGAAAAAAAGTTTTTTGGGATATCATTCCTAAAAACTGTAATATCACATGCATTAATTCATTCAAAATTCGATTTCACAAAGTTTAAGAGACTTCAAGTTCATAATATTAAAATTGTGATGTGGAAATAAAGAACAGTATTCAATATCAAAGTCCTTAAAACAATAAAAAAAAAATAGTAGCAGAGCAAACACGGACATCTAAAACATCAGAGGTGGGATAAGGAGCCATGGAGGTATGAGCATACCCAGCCGACTGGTTATACCTGCCGTGTGCTCTTTTCATAATCGGTAAATAACGGAAAAAAATCGTCTTCAATTCAGTGTATAAATAATGGACAAACAATTAGTATGAAAAATTTCAGTCAGCATTTGACTCAATCACGATAAATTGTATTTGCTAACAAGGCCATTGTATCGACCATAGGACTTACTAGATGAAGACTACAAACGAGACTGCTGTTATCAATCTCAAAAACCATAGTTTTTCTCTTTTTTTTCTTGCATTTCTCTCATTATTGAATCTTTAAATATTTAATCTTCAAACACATAATGAAATCTGAATCTATTGCTTAAAACCCTCAAAACAAAAAAATTAATAATAAGATGCACTTGAAATAAAAAGAAAGAAAGGTCTGAGAAAAGCAAAGAATTGCAAGAGCACCAAGACAGTTTCATATGTCTTTTTCATTAATAGTAGTGGTCTTGTTCAAATTCTTGTTAGGGGAGGCAGTGCAATGTCAGGAAGAGTCTAGCAAGCAAACATTTTGTAAATAAAATAGATTTTGAAATAATTCAATCTTCACAATTTTTTTTTTTTTAGATTTCTTGACGGGAACAGTATAAACACAATAAAGAACGGGACATTCATTGGCTTGTCTAACTTGAAGGAATTGTAAGTTTTTTTCTAATAGTTCCTAACGACATATATTCTTAGAGCATAAATTCATCAAATATAATATTCTGTCGTTGATTCAATTTCAAGAACGATAGCATCATTATTTGGATTTTTTAAATGATGGACAAGGCCTTTACAACAAACAGTATGATGGATGTAGCTTACTTGGCTTATTTGAAATGTATCTCGAGTATGTACATTGAAAAAAATTCGAATATGTACATTGAAAAAATTAAGGATTCAAAGGATAAGTTTATGTGGATTGTGTAATTCAGATTGAAAGAGAAATAAGTGGAGGTTGTATATAATAAGATTTAATATCCCTGTGGTAGCATTGTGGGAATAATAAGAATAATTCAAGTGTAATTCCATGCATATTATTCGGAGTTCAAGAATAATTTCAATAGAGAAAATGTTTTAAGAAGAATAAAGTCCTAAAACTGTCCATTCTTTGAGAGGAAAAAAACTATTCTCGGTCCTTCGAGTCTCGCACAGTTCGTTTTCTCACATAATACATGGACAGTTCTCGGACACCTCTACTTTACATTAAGGATGAAAAACATTTATTTTGCCTGAAAAAAGTTGCTTTTGACATTCACACTTTCTTTTTTCAGAAGGCTATACGACAACAATATCACTACAATAGAGGATAGAGCATTCATGGGATTGACAAATTTAATTATATTGTAAGTTTTTTTTTCTTATAGGTCTTGCTACAATGTATCAATATTCTTTGAGGTATCAATTCATTAAACAAATTATGAGGCTAGTAATACATTTTCATATGATCACTGCTTTTTATGATTATATTTTTCTTAAAAAACCTGAAATTATTTTGAATTTTCAAGGTGGACAAACATGAGAATTTCACTTTTCACAATATATTGCAGATCTAGAATTCTAGCTAGATCTATATTAATAATATATCATCAATAAAAACAACAATAAAACGTAAAAGAGGCAAGTGCGTTCAGTGAAACCCTGTCATTTTAGTTAATTAAAATATTTTTGGATTACCTATCCGCCAAATTTTAATTTCCCATGTAGTGATTAATTCAATAATTTGATCAAATTAGAGAGAGTGAACGTATCTTACCTAAAATATGTTTGGAAAAATAATCCCCAAAATTATAACATCACATGCATTGATTCATTCAATGGTTTTACAAAATCAGAGAAAATATAAGTTCGGTATTTAAAATATTCTTGGAAATTGCAATGCTCCATATATTTTATAATTCAATAATATGACAAAGTAAGAGACTGTAAGTATGACATTCAAGGTTTTCGGGATATCATTCCTCAAAACTGTAACATCCCATGTATATTGATTCATTCAATGATTTCAAAAGATAAGAAGAACTGTAAGAATCGTTATTTAAATTATGTTTGAGATAACAATCGCCCAAACTATAAAATTTTATGAATTAATTTTTTTCATTAACATTTCGAGGTTTACAAAGCACTTATTGCCCCAACTCTGATTATACTGTGTTAATTTCATGTATTAGTGAAGCTAGGCGGAACTACTCACGCGATAAATGACGTTTAACTTTTTATAATTTTCTTAAAAAAAGAAGTACCTCTATGTATATTTTTCGGGAAAACAAAATAGCTTTTGACATAATTCACTCCTTACAATTTATTTTAGATTTCTGGACGGTAACAGTATAAACACAATAAAGAACGGTACATTCATCGGCTTGTCTAACTTGAAGGAATTGTAAGTTTTTTCCGATTGTTACTAATTAACGACATATGTTTTTGGAGCATCATTTCATCAAATGTAAAATTCTGTGGTGGAAATGAGTTGGATATAGTAAATATAAAATCACACAGTTATAGCTTTCCTGTTTATATCATACAATTTTCGTTTGAAACAAAACTTTGAGATGTACCCTTTGAAACAATAAATGATTTCTATCCAAATATTGATGACGCATAAATTGAAGACGTCGCACTGTAGATGCTCAATGCCGAAAAAAGTACATAGATCATGAACAAAATATATAATATTTGATATATGCGTCTTTAAAACATATTTGATAATTTTTTGAGTATATATTTTAAACAAACGTTGAAGTGAAAGAAGATTTCTACTTTGAAGTCATTCTTTTTTCGGCGTCAGTGCTCAAGGTGCTACACTTCTTTTAGATCCGTGGTACGTTTCAATGGATATAATATTATGTAAGAAAGCATTCTTGAAAGTGGCTTGATTTTCTTTACTGCATGGTCAAACAAATGTCAAAGAAACATTGCCGCATAGTCTGATAACAAAGAAAAGTTTATTTGCACTGCTATTTGTAAAAGTCGAAAAATTGTCGTGCGCCGAACACTGATAATGGATATGCTGTTTTAAAATGCATAGCATATCAGAGGCCTATAATATTTTGTCAAAATATATGAAAGATGATTTCCCAACAGCATGCAAAATTTATTAGTGTTGGTTAAATAGTATTTGGAATATTCAAAACGTTCGCGTTTTCTGGGAGAACCCTCGTATTTGTAAGCGAATGGTTTTGAAAAAGTAATAGTGGAATTCCTGAATATAGATACACATTTTTATTCTTTTATCCAGGGCTGTGTATGATAATCCTTTTCACTGCGATTGCGAGTTGATAGGCTTCGTCGATTTCCTCAAATCTGGACGTGTCACTGTATCCGGTACTCCGCAGTGCTCTACTCCTGAAAACTTGAATGGAACGTCATTGGTCAATCTATCAGCTTCAAACTTTACCTGTCCCGACATAACCACCGTGTCAACAACGATCCCTGAAACATCTTACGATATGAACAGCATGTCCACAACGATTCCAGAAACAGAAAGCGAAACAATATACACCACAACGGAGAATATAGAAACAACTTCAGAAACCAATTGTTCACCTTTAGAAAAAGGGAACGTATTAGTTGTTACGTACTTATCTTTATGTATTATTGTACAAACCATGATTGGGTTATAGAAATGTTATAAATCAGGAATTGACTAATTGAAAGTGCTCACAAAATTGTCTTAGAATTCTCAATGTAACGTGTTTTTACCCCAGATAATTCTTCAAACTTCATATTTAAAGTTAATCATACTATACGTAATGGGAAAATTAGTAAATTTCAAACATATTTTCAGGAAATGCACAAAAAAGCACTTAGTATGTATTTTCCAAATTCAAAATTGATCAATAAACACATTCTAGAAATAAAAATCATAGATATCCAGGCTTTTCAAGAAGTTGCACAATTTTTATCCATATTGGGTACTTTAATTTCTTCAATTTACTTCGATCATTTTACAATGCACAGTATTTAAAGTTTTCCATCATTGCAAAACACCATAAATCACTTCCTATTTCATATCATGATAATAAACATTGGTAACTATGGTTTGATTTCAATGAACTTCAATTTCTTTAAATACGAAATTTGAAAATATTTTAGGGGCAAAAATTTTGAATCTTTATAAGTCCTTTTGGAGAGCTTCAAAGAACCCTGAAGCACAATGAGAGGTATAAAATGAAAATTATTGCATGAAATGAATTTTCAAGTCTCATTTTGATACTTTTTAAATTGTAAATTAGAGAGTTATTCTTCCTGACCGAGGATCGGAGATCCTTAAAATAATAATTCCGACTTAGGATGAAAAAAGTGGGTCGACAGATAGGCGAGAAAGTTCTTTTTACCTGAAAATATCCAATGCTTAATTTTCTATATCTACAATACAAAATGCAATAATAATGATAGTAATAATAATAATAATAATTGTTTCCTGTAGATTGGAAAAGTTTTGAGTCGGGTCATGTTAAGTCGGTCGGTCGGAAGAGGGCACCCAATTGTTTTTTTTTAACCCCAAAGATTTGATATGACATTGCTTTTCGGTCGTACTCAGAGGATGTTTGTCGAATAAGTTGGGAAAGATAAACACACCATATGCATGGGATAGCAGTATTTAACATTATAAATATGGGATCGGTAATATGCAATTATAATATATACTATTGTAATTCTATTATTTTGCACATTATATAAAGAAAATTGTCTGTTAGTATTTTCTGTAAGTTCAAGGTTGACCTTTACTTCCGGGTGAAATTGCCGTTTTTAGATTTCACCTCTGTTAATATCCATACGTTGTGAATTTCATTACGATGACGTTGAACATGTAAATAAACAAAATAATAGTTTTATTATTGATATAGGAGATTTTGAATGAATAGTAGTACTTTAATGTATTTTGATTGTATAATGTTACTTGTTTGTAAGTTTTAATAATGGAACCATCTTGCACGAGACTTTTTGTGTTAATACTGTAAACAAAGTCTTTTCTTTGTAAACGTATTTTTAAAGTAAATGCGTTTAACGAATTTTAACAATGTATAAATAGAACGAATCCGTTGGTTTTCAGTTTGTCTGTATTTTGGGTTTTAGAGAAGCAAGTGGGGTACAGACAATTTTTGGAAAATGTAAGTTTATTCCTTCATTTTGTATTAAATTGGATTAAACCTGCTTGAAATTGTTAAGAACTATTTTAAGGAATTTGGATTGTTCACATATTTCCATATTTTGGGAATTTGATCATATATATATATTTATTAATAAGTGAAGTTATTTGATGAAAAGTCAAATATTCAGGGTTGATCTGCTGAATCAGACATTTGAGTTCTGATGTTATTTTGGGAGAAATTGTAAAAAAAAAAAATTGCGGGAATTAATTTTAAGTTATTTTGAGGAGGCTAATATAATAATTATTATCTTCATTAAGAGATTATTGAATTCAATAAATTGTGAAATTTTAAGTAGTATCTTCTTTTTGTTTCTTTCGTACTTGAATAGTATTTGGTGTCAGAATAAATCAAATAAATAAAGTTAAATTTTATATCTGAACAGCACCATCCTAACAGACATCCGGCAGTTAAGAGTGAAGCGCCAGCATTTACAATATTTTCTATCAAAAAAACATAGTACACAGAAACTTGGTGAGTTGTTTGCTTCCTTTGATTCTGGGAAACCCATGGATTTTCCTTTTTATCTGCATGCAATTTTGGTTAAATGTTTTACTTGATTTAAAGGAAAGAGGGACATTGAGTTTAATAGAAGGCCCATGGGCCTGAAAACTCACCTGAGTATCATGTAACACCTTTCAAACAATTGAATTCAACATTTTGAAACACCATTGCTCATTTTAGCTATACATGTACTCGTAGCATGCTTTCAAAGTGATTTATTAATACCCAGAGGAAAAGTAGGTGAACACAGAAACAACAGGTCTATAGGCCTTACTGGTCACCTGAGCATCATGAATACCCATAGGCAGGGTAGGGGAACAAACCTGCATTTTAACTAATCGGTAAAATTCAGCAATTATCAATTGCGCCTCTACCATGTGCACACATGAACCCCTGAACCTAGGTCAACATATTTCACAATTTTGGTAAAGGCACTCTTGCTTATCAAAAATGTTTGATTAAAACCAAGAAGCAGATTTCAAACAACCAATTTTTCAGTTTAAAAGTAGAGCCCACCTCTATGGTACCCCATGACCCAGGGGCCTTGAATTTCACAATTCTGAAAGAAGGGCCCTCGCTCATGATAACTATATAGATATTCCATATGCTTAATGCCCAGAAGCAGAAAAGAAGATGATAAGAATATATGTATTTTAACTGTATAATCAGTAGAACCCAAACTCCAGAGCCTCTGAACCTGGGTCTATGAAATCTTCAGGCATTCTTGTTTATTATAATTATGTACTTAGTTAGTTTATTTAATACTCAGGAGCAGAGAAAAAGATTTTCAAAGACTGCATTTTCACTATATAATCAACAGAACCCCGCTCCCAAACCATAACCCCTACTCGTAGGGCCATAAAATTCAAAATTTTTGAAGAGGCATTCTTGCTTGTCAGAAATTTTTATTTAATTCCCAGGAGGAAGGAAAAATATTTTCAAAGAAATAAAGCATTTTCACTGTATATTTTATATAGTCCCGTCCTAGCACTAGAACTTTTGACCACGTGGCCGTGAATTTCATAATTTTGGTAGATGACTCAATTCTCATTACATTAATGCGAAGTTTGACTGCTTGACGTCCAGGAGTAATGAAGACGATTTTAAAGATTGCCTTAATTTTAGTGCTTTTGGTCCCACCCCTCAGGTCCAAGGGGCACAGGGACAGTGGCGGCACTGTGAAATTCACAAATTTTGTTCCTCATTATGCCATATGCTAAAATTGGCTGTTTGTTCAGTGGTAAGCTGACATGGACATATCCATAATAAAATGTCTAAAATACTAATATTCAAATAAATTCACAGACAATATATATATATAATATATCTACAAATCAATTCAGAAAGCCGATTCAAGAGAAATACATACAAATTGAACACGTGTTTTCATGTACCTAGCAGCACCAAAAATGGCGGCTAAAACCGATGCCTGTAAAAATCCTACTTTGTCAGCAGGATGGGAATCTCCAGGCCCCGCGAAATGGGCGCCAGTAAAATAACCGTTGAGGGAGTTCTTTATAAATATTTATTATCAACAATATATACAAACACAGTCGGTTCTGGCCTGGATCGACTCCACGCTCTACTGCTGTCCTAGACACGTCCGGTCTGCTCGGCATCCACGTGCAGAAGAGAGCCCGTGTGACTATCCCGCCGTCTGACGAAATACAGACAGTAAGTCTTACCATGGGATAGTCGCACAGATACTACAAAATACAATGTTTGAAAATTCAAAATAATTGTTTCTAGTTCAATGTGAAAATTCTCATCAAATTTTTTTAAAAAGCCAGTGGGGTGGTTGTGACGTGTTTGATTATTACGAATGTGTTTGAATTTTTTGTAAAGAAAGATTGATTTTAGTATGATTTTAAAATACATCTATATATGATCTGAATATATTGAGAAAATAAAAAAGCACGAAAAGTGAATATCCATGGTTTTTTATCACCCCTCGTACGTGCAAAAATATATAAATACTTTAATTGCTCCAGAAATGTAAAAGCAATCCTCAAAACACAAAACTCTGGTAATATAAGATTTTACTCTTTATTTTAAATTTGTAACATATAACGAGTAACGAATTCTAGCCATTAGCCATTCTTAGTAGTTAAATTCAAGAAACCAAAAAAGGATGAGAGTTAATTTGTTTAATATTTGCATTATTGAGGAATAGAGATTTGGCTAATAGTGGCGACACAGCGTATATACTAAAGAGAATATCAATTAACACCTGTCAAGGAAAATCTGTGTAATATTTTCAATTTTGGCCGGAGACAATTTATTTAGTCTACATTTAATCTATAATTTTTGGAACTTCAAAACAATATTAGTTACTATGTGAAGGTATTATATTTGGTTTTTGTTAATCATTCATGGGTTTAGTGATCATAGAACTACAGATACAACTTGGATGTATTAAAATAATCCGTTTACCACAAAACAAATAATATAAATGATTCAAAATCCGTATTACTTAAATATTATGCATCGCACCCGTGTTCATGTGCATCTACAGGATGCAAAAACCTCCTAAGCAAATGTACGTAAGTGTTTAACTTAGATCTAGTGCGACAGAATTTGAATTCGTCCTAGACAACGCATACCAGTTTGAAAGATGAATGGGATACTGTGGACCTTGGTTTTCTGTGCTTTGTTATTTGAAGCTATGACTGAGGCGTGTAGTCCGTGTACCTGTCGGTCCACGTTAGACTGCACTGGAAGATCTGCTGATTGCGAAGCTAAAGCACTGACGCAAGTACCTACTCTCCCCAGCGACGTATGTCAATTGTAAGTAATTAGGTGTTAAGCATATCCCTAATTTGATGTAAATCATAAAGAGGCTGATGTTGTATTACACATGTAGTTAAGAATTTTGGTTAGGCAATATAGTAAGTAAGTAAGTAAATTGTTTATTATAGTGACATGTGTTATACAATACAATGACAAAATTTTAATATAATTAATATCCAAACACCCAGCCCCTCGGATCTATATATCACTTTTAACAAAAATAAATAAAAAATATATACACAACAATATACAACAGAGATTGCCTATATGAAAGGTATAAATATTTTTAGGTCTGCCGAGGAAAATTTGTTAAAGAAAATTTACACATGGCTAAATCTGACATAGAAAAATTTTTTACACTATCTATATCTGACATAGAAAAAGTTGAGTTGCATTTAATACTAGTAAATAAATCTGATCTGAAATTGAAACATTCTGTACAATTTAATAACAAGAGGCCCATCTGAGAATCATTCAACAAGTTTCAAACGATTGAATTTTGTTCATGTTTTAAGGTAGATGCTATGGCATTCGTAATTTTGAAAGAGGCTGGCACCATTGCTAATCATAACTATAAACTTAGTAATTGCTTAGTTTGGTTATCTAAAGGGGCTGGGTGGTCGTTGCCATTTTGAGACTATTTCGATCTACTTTAGAAGATCTCCATATATAAAGATATACCAAAATAATCAAAATTTAAAAAACTGATATGTATGATTTTTTTTTTGTCAAATGATATTTGACAGCTAAAGATATTATATCTAAAATTTAAGTTATATCTGGTGGTTAATTTGTTTTTAAATTATAGAATCCCAAGCCTCCTTAATATCCATAGGCAAGGTAATGGAACAAAAAATACATATTAAGTAATTAGATATATTCAGCAATAATCAGAAGTGCCCCTACCACACATGAACCTCTGACCCTAGGTCCACACTTTGCAAAAATTTTGAAAAGGCACACTTGCTTATCAAAAATGTTTGATTGATGCCAAGGAGCAGATTTCAAACAATTCATTTCAGTATATAAGTCGAGCCCCCTTCCCCCATCCCCTCTAGACCCAAGGGCTTGGAAATTCACAATTCTGGAAGAAGAGCCCTTGCACATCATAAGTAGTTCATTTGCATATTACCCATGGGCAGACAAGAAGATTTTCAAAGAATTAATGTATTTTCACTATATAATCATTATAGAGTCCCACCCTAACCCAAGAACCCCTGACTCTGGGGCCATGAAATTCACTATTTTGGTAGAAGAAGGATATGGAGATAACGAACAGTATTCAATCTCAACGTCCATAAAACAATACAAAATAAGAGCAGAGCAAACACGGACCTCCGAAACATCAGAGGTGGGATCAAGTGCCATGGAGGAGTGAGCATTTCCTGCCGACCGGTCACCGGCACCGCCATGTGCTCCTTGTCATGATCAGGAAATAACGAAAACATCCGTCGTAATTTCAGTGTATAAATAGTGGACTAACAATTGGTACGAAAAATGTCAGTCAGCATTTGACTCAATGATAAATTGTATTTGTAGACAAGGTCATTGTATCGACCATAAAACTTACGAAATGAACTTTAAACGAGACTGCTGATATTCTTGTTTCATCAACTTGCTTGTCAATAATTTACCTCTTTTTAGAAATTGTTCATACGTAGAGCATGCTCTTACGTATCGAATTAACTGAGATAAATATACTCCGTATGCAGGTTATGAAGGTAAATTGCTGCATAAGTAAGGGAAGTTGACGATAGAAAAGTTAAAGTCATCACGTTTATCATATAGTTTGGTTGTTAGAATACCATTAGCGTTTTTTTTTTCAAGTAAAATATCCAAGTATAAAACAGAATTGTCAGACTCTGTAGTATCTTTTATCTCAAGCTCAGAAGGATATATCGTATCGACGTAGGAATGGAAATTACCATTGTT